TAATGCATAATCTCCCTGGAGCCCCAGCTGACTGGAACTTGCTATGTAGACCAGGCTGGCCTTGATATCAGAGATCTACTTGCCTCTGCCTCCTAAGTACTGGACTTAAAGGTGTGTACTACCTCACTGGGCTCCAAGATCCCCACTTCTTAATACTATTACTCTGGTGATTGAATTTCAACATGACTTCTTGTATGTGGGTTTATAGTCCTGTAAATGAATACTCCAGGGAAGCTGGCTTCGAGTTTAGCTGATTCAGGCCAAGAAGGCCTATTCCTGGCCTTCTACTCCTGGGTTGTCTTAATCCACAGGCTCTGAATATGGGACCCTGGCATCTCTAGCCACTCCTGCCCCCCCACCCCCCACCCTCACACAGTGGCGCTAAGCTTGAGCCTGGTGAGGAGATTATGTCTCTTTGTGCTTCCTGCCCTGGGTTAGATAAGGTGTGCTGATCATTGTTAGTCAATAAAGTTTTACCTCTGTTGCTCACTGAACCCTTGGGGATAAAAATGAGAGATAAAAGAGAGGAAGGAAATTCTAGGACTTGATGCTAGGAGGAGGGTGAATACTAAAACTACTAGCGGTGATAATAATAGTATTGTGATAGTATCGTTATCTTCTCAGAGTGGCAAACTGTCCATACTTACTAGACTACCATACATTATGCACACTAATACAGCCAAATACTTGTCAAAATTCTGTGAGAGAGATATACCAAGACATCATTTACAGTCAGGTGACTAATGCCCAGAGATTGATCTCATACAGCTGGGAAGTTATGGGAGCCCGGGACTCTGCCCTCTGATTGTGGAGCTTTTATCTTTTCTTGGCTATGGGGATCTCTGTAGATGACCTAACTGTTCCTTTGTTAAGGACAGCAGCTAAATATACGTTGTCTTCATTTCCCTAACTACCTTTCACGTAATCAGTACAGGATTGGGACTGTAAAGGTGAGCCTTCGTGGCTTGAATATACTGACTACATCTTTAGCTATAGATATTTTGACTTGATGTAGAACAAGGATTTTCTGACCTTTTGTTTTATTTTTCCTATTAGGCAAATTTCACACATAGAGAAATATCTGTTTCCTTTTACTTTGGATCCAAAAGTTTACAGTCAGATAAGTTGACTATCTTTGGTCCCTACAGTAAGGAGTCGGGTTAAGAACCAAGTATCACTTTGTTCACTCCCTTCTTCCAAAATTTATTTTGGACAAGATAAAAGTTTTCAAAATTAAACTATCATATTCTCTGTACCATGAAAATCTAAGGAAGATGGTTGCTGGGTATCATGATGAATTTTGTGGAATGCCAGGACAAAATTATGTTCATTTCCAAGACTGGCCTCTGTCTCAGATACTGATTCTCACACCACTAGAGTCAATATAATGCTTAGTTTTAGATCATTCTGGACTGAAGATCTTTTGAAAAGTATTTGAATCCTTAGTACCTCATTTATGTCGCTGGGAAAAGTTCCCTTAGAGTAAATGTAGCCTTTGAAAATTCCATTGAGGACATGGGATTTCTGAAGCTTGATTAGCTAACCTTCTGCGGTCTGAACATAGTGAAATGGGCAGACTCCATAAAATGAAGTGACAGCTCAATCAGTTTGAGGAGCTTGGGTAGAAATATAGTTTTTTCCACTGTCTCTCTTTAAGCCCTTCTTAACCTCAAATAATTCTGCAGTTGACATGGTAGTATAACACAGTTCCATTGCAGTTATGCTACAAAAACGAGCAGAAAATCTTGGGGGCTAAAAGCTTGTTCTATGAGGTAGATCTTTAAATACAATATGGTAGATCCTGATCAGTTACCACTGTCCTCCCCTCTAAGATTTATAGATGTTATCGTCCTGGTTTGGGAAATTTGGACATGGCTGTTAAATCTTTCAGCCTAGTAAAATCCTTTGCTGTTCCTGCTCAGCCTTTATCAGACAGGAAGTAGCTCTCTGTAATCCAGGAGGAAGGAGAGAAGGGAAGCAGAGCTCACACTTAGTGAGCGGCTGTAATATGCTAGAAATTGTGGTGAGGAATTTTGTACCCTTGCCACAATGAATCCTTCAATAACAGAGAGGTAAGTGTTGTGATTTTTTCTTTATTGTACTTAAATGGAAATGGACGCTCAGGCTCAAAGCCACATAGCTAGAAGATTAGGCCACAAGCAGAGGTTCAGTTTCAAGTCTGAATCTTAAGACCTTAAATATTTGTTCTTCAAGCATTGTAAACATCACTATTAATAACCGATTGTTCATGTGATTTGAAACATACACTATAGGGTTGGGAAAATGCTTAGTCATGATTTTCCATAGATTTATTAATTTCGACAACAGACATTCAGTGAGCACTTACTAGGTACTGGAGATGTTTCAGTGAGCAAGTCAGATGAGACCCATCACTGTTCTTATGGAGCATACATTCTAGATGGAGGAGATAGATAATGAGCATGGAAAATGTATAAAAACAGGTTATGAGTGCTATGGGCAAACAACAACAACAACAACAAAAAACAATAGTAAGGCAGTGATAATGGCTAAAAAGAGAGAAGAGGTCTTCAAGACCGAAAGCTTAATAAGGGCATATAGCCTATCTTGGGGGAGGATGTTATAGGAAGAGGCCGTAACCCAATGTAAAGGCCCTCATGTGAGGGCATCTCTGGAATGTTTGAGCTCCATTTTGGCTGGACACAGTGAACAAAGGCTAATGCAGTAGAGGGAGCCAAGTGAACTTTGACTGAGCTGATGGGGAGCCCTGAAGGGTTGGAGCACAGTGGTGTGACTGGATGTCTCACTCTGGCTGCTGCGAAGGGAATGGGAGAATGAAAACAAGCCCAGTTACAATGATCCAGGTGAGATTCAGTGGTGGCTTAGACAGGGAACAAGGGACGTGGATAGTGGCCTTATGGATGTGCCAGTCACCCGAAGGATCTCTGGAAGAGTTGGATATATGTTATTGAGAGAATAAGAAGAATTGAGATGACCTCATAAAATTTTGCCTGACTGTCTATGAACTGAAGCTGTGAGTGGAGACTGACAGGAAGATCAAGTTCTGTTTAGGACAGTGTATCTGTTAGACCAACAAGTGGAGGTGGTAACTGATGGTGGCACATCTGACCCTGGATTTTAGGGAGAGCTATGACTGGAGCCCCAGAGAAAGGAGAAACCCCTTCCTAGACTGAAGAACAGCAGGGAGGAATCCAAGAGAGGTGTGTGCTGGAGGCCAAGTGCTTCTATGGTTTGACTTTGTCCTTGTTGGAAATTTAATCCCCAATTCACATGTTAATGGTATTTGGAGATACAGTCTTTAGGAGGTAATCAGTATTAGATGAAGTCACGAGAGTGTGACCCCCCACGATGCATTAATGACTTCATAAAAGAAAAAGACCCAGGCCAGTGCTTTCTTGGTCTTGTCATATGATACCTTCTACTATGTTATGAAGTAGGAAGAAGGGCTTCACCAGATGCTGAACCAATATCCATGCCTGTCTTTAGAGCCATGAACTAAATAAATTTTCTTTTCTTTTGTTTTTTTTTTTCTTTTTAAAATCGGGTCTCACAAGACAACCCTTGCTGGTCTAGAACTTTCTGTATAGAACAGGCTGGCCTCAAACTTAGGGTAACCCTTCTGCCTCTGCCTCCCAAATGCTAGGATTACAAAGCATGTGACAGTATGCTAAGCCTCTATTCTTTTTAAACTACCTGGTCACAGACATTTTGTTATAGCAACAAGAGGTGAACAAAAAGTGAAGAAAATGTTTCCTGAAGGAGGCAGGGGTCAACAATACTGCATATTTCAAAGGAGCTGGAAGTTTTATATTTTACCACAAACAACTGGTGTGTGTTTGAGGAGATAGCTATGCTTACCTGGTGAGTGTGAACATGTATCAAAATATCAAATAGTACCCCTAAAATATATACAGTTTTTGTGTGTCAATTGAAAAACAGTGCTGTTGATGTTTCAGAATGAGGAGGCCTGCGACTGGCCTTTGGATTTGTAATGTGGAGGCCACTGGTGATGTGATGACAGTGAGTTCTGCAGAAATGACTGAATCATGAAAAACCTGATTGGAAAGATTTAGGGAGGTGTCTGAGAAATTAGAGGTTTTATTTAAAGGGAAAGAATAATTGCATATTTTTTAAAGTTGATGTGAATGGTCCAATAAAAAGAAAAATAAACAAACAAAACCCCCCATAGGAGATGGAGGGAGAATTGCTAGTGAGACATAATGTCATTGAAACATGTTTTCAAGTAGTTTTCCCAAGTGGTGCATCTTTGTGGCCTCAGAACCTCAAAACAGCCCGGTCTGTGGTTGGAAAGCTAGCATTGCATGATGTGTAATGTGGAGGACAAGATAAAAGAATGTTTTTCAAAGACTGACTTGTAGTGGAAAGGACTCCATTGCTGAGAACTTGAT